ATGGGTTTTTATGCTATTTTATTTCCTCTTTTCTATGTGGCTTCGCACTAATGCCTTACATTAAAGGAACAAGTTCAAGGTCCGGAATGACTCGGGGACACCATTTATTCTGAATATCACGTTTTAAGTGTTCACGTATTACACGCCCATTGACTACCATGTCCACAACGCTTTCACCACCAGTGTCGTATTCGCAACTACCCCACGGATGTTTTGTCTATGTGGATTTTATCACGATTACTCAACCATGCGAGTACCCTACTCCACTAATCATGCCACGATATCGATATCTCACCTGTATCACGCACTCGATTTCATCACCTGGATACAAACGTTGCTGGACAACGCTGTCTCTGTTCTTTATGCTCTGATTTATGGTCGCTCACAGATATGCAGTACAAGTACTGTATTATTTTGTATATAGTTTTTTTATGTTGGACGAATAATTACTTCAATGGGTTTCTGGTTATGTCCTGTATGATTTACGGGGCTGCTGGGCATATGATTCATTGCACATGGGCAATCAAACACTTCAAACACTTGGAGCATCAAAACACCCGCGGTGTGGGTCGGGAGATGGACGCGCATGCCGCTCCGGACTTCGCGATCATTTTGGTCTTCAGAGTCTTCAATTGTCGGCTCATCCATTAGTTAACCGCCAAATATCAGAGTAACTTCAGGTCCAAACACTGAGTGTCGAAATACATTGGCGTACTTCTCCTACGTATTGATAAGTTACAGAGACAGGGTTTGGGGCTGATATGTAAGCCTTAACACAAAACAAGGAAGACTATCGAAAGCCTCTTTTCAGTGCAGAAGGTCTATCAGTCTGTGATTATTCACTTGCTTGTTGTGTCGATAACACGGCGCATCCCAGCGATTATGGTACTGCGGTAGCCCGAGAAGCTACTCTCACACCTCTCGAAGCAGCTGAGCTTCCCATACACTGTGCGCACTTGCTGTGCTTTGCCAGCTCGCTTCAGCACCGAAGCGCAGATAATGTGGGTAAGGCCGGGGCTGATTCTGTAGGCCTCTTGGAGCAGACCTCGCTTTTTTCAAGGCTACGAAGGCCCCACATCCATAAGGCGTGCGGTTCTGCTATAAATTCAGCTTGTCCATGCGTATTCCATCAAAATCGTGGGGCTCACCTCTCGCAAAAGTTTCAAAATGTACCCCAACATTCCATCCCTCATTTACGGTTTATTGGTACTTCATATTTCGTGTGCCGCCCTCATTATTGTTAAAGACACAGGTACGAATTATGTTCCAGCTCAGCTGAGTGTTGATAACCTGTGCAAAGACGTTGCCCCAGGGATGGCTGGTGTGGATCTTCAGATATCGCCTGCAGCTATTATCTGATTCCTGTGATAGTTCCTGTTGCCGACACTCAGGATGGAAGACTGTGGATAACAGCCGTCCACGACGAAATAATCCCAAGTAAAGGCAAGAAGTCACAGCTCGTTACGCAGCGGCCTAGTAAACTGATCGCCCGCAGTCCGCGCTGATGGTCGACATACGGCAGAGATTCAAATGAGTCTGACGCCCCTCGTTGGTGCTCTTTGGCAAACAGGCGTTCATCAGGAAGTGTCACCCAGCCGAGGTAGATGAAATCGCTCGACTTGTTCCTAAGCTACCATTTCTGCTTTTCATAGCAGGCAACAACAGGGCAAACGAACCTGAACCGACACCGGCCGCTATTTCTTTTTGGAAGACGGAGGAAGTAGCTTCAAGATTGCGTCAGTCTATATGAATATGAATGATCGCTTGACTAATGCTTACTAAAAATATAGTGGCTGTTCAACGTGCTGAGGGACCCGTACCTACGCACGTCTTGGGATTACTATTTCAAAGCGCAGTTCACGAGAGGATCTCCGATTCTTAAAGCAAGCAGTATAGCAACCAGATGCTCTTGCGCAATAGACTGACAACGATCAAAGAATTATTTCATTCGTGAAGGGTATCGCAGCAGTTGAAAAGCATTCCCCGAGTCACTGCACAGGTGGCTCTGGAAAGGTTTAGTCAATGGGAAGATTTTCAGTGAATTTCAACTACTCACTATTCTGTACAACATTTCCAACCAGTGATTCGAGAATGAGTTATCTGCATTAACATCAGCAGCTCAGGACAGTTGAAGATCCAAGAAATTACAAGTCTTACCACTTTGAAGCGCTGACATTATCTCATTCGCAAGTCTAAGTGCGTGCATTGGGGAAATAGCATCTGTGTCAGTGCGCAACTATGCACTGTTTTGTCATGTTAACCCCGAAGATCGTGTTTCAAAAATAAGCTGTTAAATGTTTTCAAAAAGCGCATGATGGAAGATGGAGACCGACACACCGCACTCAAGGACGAGAACATGTCCCCATTAATCAAATGGCACAACTGCTGGTTACTAGATGTCTAGACTTGCGGACGGAAGGCCTGGTGAGTCAAGGTTGTATTTATTTTCCCCATGAGTACTAGTAATGACCAATTTGCAGTCACTGTGTAGCTATGGACTGTGACGTAGTCTTTGACCAAGTTGGATTTGGAAGAGCGCCGAAACACGGTATTTCCCGGTCAGCTTTCTAACGTCACTGCATGCGACGAGAATGATGAACGTATCAATTTGCTATCGATGGCCAAAGTACTCAAGATGAAGCCTGTTACAGCACCCTGATTTGGCTTGAGAGAGGGCGCATATTCAGACAGGAACAGTACTTATCCCGCTCGGAAGGTGTACATGGTGCGAACCCCAATCATTGTTTTTGGAAATTGCTAAGTGTAACTTGTGCGGTCTTTCTTTATTGATAGCCAGCGACCTGGACCATGGAACGCGGTGCATACTACACACCAGATGCATACAGGTGTTTCCAATGAATTGGTGTGATTGTGCTTTGATGGCAATGACAAGTCAATACTCCAAATTCCGGCAGGTTGCGGGGCACAAACGACACGATGACCGGACATGACATGTACAGAGTCCGAATGAGCAACTTCCTGAAGTAAGGATGACAACCGAAATGACGATGCCCCACTGCAAAAGACTATCTTTTCACCAAGGTAGCAGTCTCGAACCTGTTTGCACAGGTAAGTAGTGAAAACGATACAATCATGAATGCAGAGAGCAGTTACGAGTCTAGCTGATGGTTCATCATACTCATCCTACAGCGAGAGGGTCAATTCTTGGTTTCTCCTCAGAAGATGAGAGCGATGGGAGACAGTTGTCCCTGCTGACCACCGATACTGAAAACGACTCCAAGGACGGGCTGCACGCATCTGAGAATTTGTTGCAGTCTCGAATGAGAGGCAAGTACAGTTCTCTATTTTTATTTTTCAGTTCGTAATCGTTACAATGACTACCGCTGACTTTCAGGCATCAGCACCGGTCACTCACTCATGGTAAACTAAACATAGGATGCTCGTAGTACACCTAAACTCTCTTGCGCGGTAGGCTATCATGAACCATACTTGGACGTGAGCCGGTACCTCCCTTTGCGACGCCCAAAGTTGCTGTATCAAAAAATAAACATAGCTTCTGCACTTGGTAGGACCTCTCCGCCTATACGGCCTATTCACCCCCCGGAATTGAGGCGGTTCGAAACATTGGAGACGCTGACGCTCATCAATACCGACTCGCGGTGCCGCCAAGGAGTGATCACTGCTGGATAATGAGCCTAGTTTTCACACCATGCCAATGCAGCCTCATGCAGTGCATATTCAGGGGAAATAACATACCGTATAAATTGGATCAAGACTCCACGCAGTCCTTTTCTTAAAGTTTCTCTGCGTGTCCCAACATCGTCTATATAAGCACGTCTGTCTCATTCAATCTCACTGTAATATGTTGACCTTGCCTCACTTCACGGTTGCTCTCGCTCTCGCATCCTCTATCTTCGGTGTTACTATTCCTGCAGTACCCTCTCGCCGCTCCGGGGAGCTTTGGGAGGGTTTGGAACACGAAGAAGTAGACCTAAGAGGTCTAGCATCCTCTCGCCGCTCTGGGGAGCTTTGGTTGGGAGCAGAACATGAAGCGGTAGACGCATCTAGCACTCTTGCACTGATATGAGGAAGGAGGTTTTCCCTTACATTGATGTTTGAGGTCAGTTCCTGCGCGAGCCTCACGAATCTAGTCCTGAAGCACTTCTTACAGCAGACTCCAAACCATCGGCGGTGTGTAGAGTCTCGTGTTAGTACATTCCGAATACAATACATTTTTTAAACCCCGCACCTCAATTCAAACACCGCAACTTTTGGACTCTACACACCTAGCCGACTGGCACAACTTGTTGTGGCGTCAAGTTTGCCACTGTTTGAATTCCTTCCGAACGATGGATCAAGCCGTCAGGTACACCGGGAAGCTTATTAGTACAACGGCAGGTGTGACAAGGTAATATTTAGATTATATTTATATTATATATATTCATATTATATAATTATATTTCTAAATAACCAGTACAGCAGAATCATGCACAACATCGTGCAAAACATGAGGTGAGGAGTACAAAATGAATACAGTACCACTCCAGAGTCCACTGTGCACCCCCAGAATGAGCCTCGAACTTCGACTGACGAATGTCCTGCGGTGCCTGCAGCAAAACAACCTGTCGGCAGCGGGATTCGTCAGTGCAATATTGGACAGCAGATATACCGCTCACGCTGCCAGCCAAGACTCGCTGACAATGAACGCAGCTCACATTTGTGCGCAGTTATACGATAATGAGAACTCACATACATCGGTTTTTTCCTGGGCAGCAGGAACACTACGCAGAGAGCTGTGTAAGGAGGTTGCTGAGCTATCGCTCGAGCACCACGGCCTCCACTTCAAGGCCACCTCCGCGACTGTGGAGCAGCTGGAAACGACTTTTATGAGTCAGCTCGCCGTAACGATGCAAGGAGTTGCTCCAAACGTTTGGAACCTTGTCTCAGCTTTACTCGACAGCAGAGAATACCGCCGTCGAAAAATGCCGCACCCTGCTGGCCACGTTCCAGCACCCGAAGATACCCCTTCACAGAATGAGATGGACTTGGGCGAGTTGGGTGGAGATGAGCCACATTTTGAAGACGATGATGACGGGGATGAAGAGGACGATGGGGAGTTTGACAAACGATCAAGGAAACGGCAGCGTCGTGCGGGTGAAAGGAATGTAGCGCTACAACACATCGTGAGCGAGTTTCGATCTCCGGTACCTAAGTGCGGCCGCTAACTGTAACTAGAAAACAATAGTGATAATCAGCATATGCCTGCAAAATACGAACGAAAGATGCAACTGCTTACAGGGCTGGATGGGCTTTTTCATGAAGTCAACAGGCGTCCCTGAGAAGGTCATTGAGGTCATGGCACACGCAGGGCTATCCGTCAGCCTGTCCACCATATATAACATGGTGACATCTATTTCGAAGGAGATCAGCCGTGACATCAAAAGGGAAGTCCGCACGCTCCGTGCAGCATTCGCATACGACAATTTTGATATCGCCTTCAACGTTGCCCAGCCAACACTCGAAAACCGCTCCTCCTTTGTCAGTGCAACATCCGCCACTGTGATTCCACTATATGGTGTTGATGAAAGTAACGAGGAGGCGTTGCGGAGCTCGGCAAAGTTGTGGGCCTCTGATCCAAAGAATCCGTCACCATCATTATTCCCGCTGATGAACGAAAGCAGAAGCTTTTTAATGCTTCACAAAAAGGACACCTACAATCGGCAAACGAATCCAACACAGCTGAGTGGACGAGAGGAGGCTTTTGCATGGCATATTCGCGCCATCCTTGTCCAACACAATCAAAACTTCAAGCACTTTGCAGACAAACTTGATGAGCCTGAAACCATCCAGAGGATACCTATACACAAGACCAATCAGATTCCCTGCCGCTCGATGAATATCAAGCAGTCTACCACAGACGGAAACGTTGAAGTCTTGGAGAACTTGTTTCACCAGGGAGGTATCGGGGACAAGAGCGAGGTCAACTTCAATGCAGAACACGATGTTGACATGACAGAACATGTAATTCTGGTTCATGGAGACCTATTAACAAAGGAGCGTGTCGACAGCGTGCGGAACAGCCGAAAAATCGAGCACACACCGAAAAATCGTCTCCAGTACGTTGTATTCCTCCCAGGACTCTTTCACTACAAGATGGCGTGTGCGGATGCATTGTGGCGCACGTACATTCATCCAAAGGAAGGGCGCGAGGATGAGAATAGCCTCTATCAGCACATTGGGATCCTTCGACCTGATGAAACAGGAAAGATGGTCAGTAAACCTGGATTTCGGCGTGTCCACGATGTTGTTCACCACGACATCTGGGCATCAATGCTTGACTGCTGGCGTCTTGAAGCAGAGAGCCGAAATACTGAATGGTCGACATTGGAAAGATTCGCCACGTCAAAGCCAGTCTGGGAAGATATAATCAATATGTCCCGTGTCATCGTGAAAAAGTTCATTGCGACGACCCAAGATCTGGACGCAGCACGGGAACAGCCACCACTACAACGAGACAAGCGTTTCGAGAACCAGACCCTGCGTAATCGTGACGAGCTCTTGTACGTTGACCTTTGTCAAGCCATGAACACCGGAGATATCGGTCATGTCGAAGCATCGTTTCTCCCTTGGATTCATATGTTCAAAGCTACTGGAAAGCATAAATATGCGTCACAGATGTCAAGGTTCCTGACGAACCTTCAATTCAATTATCCAGCGGCTTTGAGGTGAGGAATTCTGTCTTGCTGAGAATAGAGGTCATCAATATATTTGACACAGTAATATAGTGCGGATGAACTTACTATGCAACCCAACCGGCAAGCCATTTGCTTTTCGTGCAGTTGACTGGGTTGTCGAGCGCAACAATTTGTATACAAAGGTTAGCGAACGTAACGGTCGATGTCAAGAAACCAAAAGTAATGATTGACAGGTCATATTTCGTGGCGGCGGTCCAAACGGCACACTGGATCACATCATCAAAGAATCGCCTCTCATTGAAGTATACCGAAACTGCCACGTAACGATGGAAAACGCATTCCATCTTCAGCACCGCACAATCCGACACGCTGCACCTGACATGACGAAGACAATTCAGAAATTGGCAGCGCGAATCAAACAAAAAAACCCACATACCAAGAAGGAAGGCCGAAGTGCGCTACATTCGATCCCAGATCAAATCGCTGTGGGTATGGCACTGATACAAGAGCAAAAGGTAGTCAGCGAAGAAGATGCAGGGACGTTTGAACTAGATGCAGATGATTTTATTGACTGACCTTACAGTACTAGGTCCTGCCGCTGGCTCGTTCTCTGCGTTCGAGTTCTTTGTGCGAGATGATTTTGGTTTCGGGATGTACTTCGGACAGAGTCTATTAGAAGCTATTGGTGTGTTGATTAAGGTTGGCAAGTAGTGTCAAGAGCACGTACCTATGTGAAGATTACTCCCACATGCTCTGCATTTCCGCGCTGCTCGCTGCTTAGCGCTGCTACCAGCTATATCAGTGGTGGACGTTGTGGGTTGTGCGTGAGAGGCTGGCATTGGTATAGCGGGGTGAGGCTGGTTTATCGTTATCGAGGATCCAAGGACTGCCAATGGCGCAGGAAGTGGTGGATGCACTGACGGTGGTGGTGGTGGTGGTGGTGGTGGTGGTGGTGGTGGAGGAGGAGGAGGAGGAGGAAAGAATGACTTGATAAGCTCGATGATTTGTTGGCCATATTCTAGGGAATAGCACCAGCCGGTTTGCTCTAGCAATGATGCGGGGGAGGTTAGCTTTGCATAGTGAGCAAGGTCAATAATGCGGTTGAGAGTTTTGTTTGACATAATAAGCTGCGGGCCGAAAAAAATGTCCCCATCGAGATCTTCTTCAACCATCTTAAAATCTCTCCATTGAAGTAGCGCAGCTCGTAGATCGCGTTCTCTGTTGGTCATTTCGTATGGTTTGCACTTGTATTTAGGTTTTGCACGAGTTGACAGAAAGGTTTGTAGCGGAAGGATGTGTGATGTGATTAGCGCGGGAGTACATATGTCACAGCAGTCACCAGACGGTGCCTCACTGCATCGTTCACAGCATACTGCTTGGTCTGGATTTAGAGCTGTGAGTCAATTTAATTTGTGTTTAAAAAACTGCTTACTTTTTGGATTATTGAAGTATTCGTTAGCCACCCGACGTCGACAGAATCCACGATGCCTCGCGTTGATAAAGGCGTACATTGCGAAGCGCTCGCAGGCAGTGTTATCAAGATTATCGGGGATGAGCTGCACGTGAGCTGATGGGATTACGGTCGTTTCTGATGGACGAGACGATGACGGCAACGAGCCCGAGCCAACGGCGTGTAAATCCTCCTGTAAGCCCTCTCTCCCATGACCATCATGATCTCTGAAGCCATCATCACCTCCCTCAAACTCACTGTCAACATCTTCCTCTCTACTATCATTCTCGACGCCTGCTCGTGAGTTTGATCCCTTTTTCTTTTTATTTTGCCGACTATCTTCCTCAACCGCGGGCCTCTTGCGCTTCCCTTTGTAGGTATCAAAGTATATTGGCTCAACAAGATAAATTCCCACCGCCGTTAGCGAGGGATCTCTGGCGCCACGACCAAGCCTTTGCATGAGAGCGCACAGTGAGGAAGTGTAACCCCATTGTACAATGATTTTAATATCACGCAGGTCGAGTCCCTTTTTTTCAAGTTGAGTACATTAGTGCGCGCATTAAGACTAATGTGATAGTCACTGACCATTCCCGCTGCGTCGGTGCAGCAAATTCCCCACAGTTCACCTGCTTGAAGCTGGTTCATCACATCGACGTGGAATTCCATCGACATCCCAGAATGAAACCAGACGATCTTTCCCTGCCGATGTCCAGGCACATCTGACCGCAAGCGGTTGCAAGTCATCTCTGCCGAAATCCGAGAATTCGTGAAGATCATGAACTTTGGCGGTGGATTCACGTCTCCGAGCCTCATATCCAAGACTCGGGTTAGATCATGCATGGTATTACGCGGGAACTTCATCTCTTCAACAATAATGCTGATGTTCGGACGGTTGTTAGACCTGGTGACCCTCGCAACATTATGTGAGCGGATGCGGAGCGTTGAAGTGACATCGGCCAAAATGTGAGGTGGCATGGTTGCCGATACGACATGAACTGATACATGGTCCGGCAAATACCATCTAATGTTCCCCAGCTGACTGTATAGCGGCCTGAAGTCCGCGCCCCATTCACTTATGCAGTGCCCTTCGTCGAACGTTATATTGAATATCTTCTCAGTGAACTTCTTCGACTTCCATAACGCCTGAAAACGTGAGTCGCTGAGTAACCGTTCTGGGCTGACCGTAATGACGCGATATTTAAGCTTCTCAATGTCCTGCGCAACATTAATGATGAAGAGATTATCAGAATTTTGTTACATACCTTGAATGCCTGATCCGAGGCAGTCTCTTTACACAGATTGATGGCGGGGAAACCCAATGCCTCTGCCTCCTTTTGATTCTTTTCTCCTAATATATTCAGCGGCGTCACGATAATGATAATCCCACCTGCGTTAAATAGGAGAGGAATCCAAAATGTCAATGTTTTTCCGGAGCCGGTTGGGGAGATCGTGATAACATCCTTGCTGTTGAGCTGATATTGAGCTGCCTGAAGCTGCCAGGTGCAGGGAGACAAGCCAAACTTCTCTTGGACAGTTTGCTTCATGTTCGCGAAGCTTGGGACATCGAAACGACGAGGAGACATTCTGAGTATGGTAAATGTTAACACTTAACAGAAATGAATCCAAAATGGGATTGCATCAGTCACGTCACGCAAATTGACCTCCAGGGTGCCGTCTGTCCGGTGTACCTGACGGCTTGATCCATCGTTCGGAAGGAATTCAAACAGTGGCAAACTTGACGCCACAACAAGTTGTGCCAGTCGGCTAGGTGTGTAGAGTCCAAAAGTTGCGGTGTTTGAATTGAGGTGCGGGGTTTAAAAAATGTATTGTATTCGGAATGTACTAACACGAGACTCTACACACCGCCGATGGTTTGGAGTCTGAATTAAAGTTTGAAAGAAATTCCCCCAAGCTGGAGTACTTTCAAGCTGAAGACGGGAGTTGCGGTGTATGTTCAGACTCAGTCAGATGCTCCTGCCTTGTATAGTAGATTTTTTGCTGACAAACAGAGCGCGGTCACGGTGGTCCTGCTTTCCATACAGCGGTAATACACCTGACATTTCAACCTCATTGAGCACTATTCTACTCAACATCCCTTGTAACATGTTCTACATAAAAATATGATTCTGCATAGTGGCTGTCTTGTGTACAGTGTGTCGCGAGTCAACACGCGAAACAAGTCTTACTAGAGTCCCTGCGTACATCGCATGGTGAGTTTGACATGATTAGATTCGGTGTGAAACAAGGCTTACGCGCCCAGTTACCACTGGCTTGCCTGGGTCTGGTTCTGGAGACTCTTCCTGAATACATTGTGCGATGAGTTTGACATGATCAGATTTGGTGTGACACAAAGCTTACACGTCCAGTGACTACTGGCTTGCCTGGGTCTGGTTCTGGAGGTTCTTCCTGAATATATTGTGTGGTGAGTTTTACATGATGAGACTTGGTGTGAAACAAAGCTTACACGTCCAGTTACTACTGGCTTGCCTGGGTCCGGTTCTGGAGACTCCTCCTGCATACATTGTATGGTGAGTTTGACATGATTAGATTTGACGTGAAATAAAGCTTACACGCCCGGTGACTACTGGCTTGCCTGGGTCTGGTTCTGGAATTCTTCCTGAATACATTGTGCGATGAGTTTGACACGATGAGATTTGGTGTGAAACAAAGCTCACACGCCCAGTGACTACTGGTTTGCCTGGGTCTGGTTCTGGAGACTCTTCCTGCGTACATGTTAGGGTGGGTTTGACATGTTTCGTGTGAAGCAAGGCTTACGCGCACAAGTGCTAAATAATTGGCCTGTGCATATTGTAAGGTCAAGGTGAGATCTGACGCGAAGCCAGGCTTACTCGGGTCGTCACGACAGTGCTACGTTTGTCAAGGGGAGCAGCGTGGACGAGCAGCCTGCGGACATTGTATGACAATATGATAAGATTTGACGCGATGCGAGGCTTACTGGCACTCCAGCGTTGACAAGGGCCGTCAGGCCGAGGAGAACCACGAACGTAGTAGAGAGGTGGATAAACATGATGGTGAGTTGATTTCACTTGTAGAGAGGTTGTTAGCAATTTATTATGGGCGCTGTCTGTTTTATACTCACAGAAGAGGACGTCAGGTCGTGTTTTGGACATATGACAGTACTAGGGATGAAACCCCTCAGTGGTATTTGTCCAAAGGGATCAGCTGTCGAAGCATAGTACGTGTCCCGAGTCGATCCGACGATTGAATACTGTTCAAATTGCTGTAGGGATGCAAGATTCGTGACAGAGCCAGACCCTGAACACATTGCGGACTTTGCACTTTTTTTCGATCAAGAAGCCTCGACTTCCAATTCCAATTCAGTGGGGAGGAGGTTTTGTATTGAAACGATCATGTTCCTATCTGTCCTACCATGACTCACTGTCCAGCTGACTGATGTAACATAAATCATCAACAACCGCCGTTCCACCAGTTGTAGCAATGCATGACAAACGTTCAATGAGCGGTAGTATTACCATGTCAGCGGGCGTGAGTTACTGACCTTGTGTACTGTATGCAGTCTACATATGCCAGGTCACAGCATAGGTGTCAAGCAACGTGTAGCGCTGCGAAGATTGTACGCTGGACAGCAGGGCAGGACCAGGTAGAGCTTTTTTTTGAGTGTCAGAGTAAAAAAAACTAATCTGATAAAACATGAGAGTCAATAATCAGATCAAACGTGTGCATTGATACACGGTAGGCCAGAATGAGATAAATAATTTGCAAATGGCCTTGAAGGTTCTCCGCTACGGCAGTAGTAATGGGTGTTGTGGACCTGCCAGTGCCACGGTCGAAAAAATTGCGAGTCTTATTTTGGTAGAAATCCTGCCACACATTGCAATTGTGTGCTGCGTTTATAACATATAATGTATAATGGGTGGCTGTCGAGTCGACTTTGCTCCGGCACGCATGCCGAACGTCATTGACTGGTATGACAGGTTCATGTCTGATGTCCAGAAACTTAGCATCACAATAACAGCCATAGAAGCCAAATAAACTCACTCCGCATTAAACTCCTTCAACAACTTTTCCACAACCGCCCGCTTGTTCTTCGTATAAGATACTGTGACTTTTATCAGTCCAACGTCCTGCCGCTCAAGAAGCAAATCGATGATCGCATTCGTCAGCGCACTGGTGAATTCCTGAGGATTTTTGCCGTGGACGTCTGGGTGGGACCCGTGGGTCTTTGTTCGTGGTAAAGACAGCCTGAGTAAGCAAGACAGTGCGAGATCTATGGAACATGAACGTACCAGCAAAAATAATTCTTGAAATTCTTGCTTTCACGGCACTCAGACGAGCCTGAATCTCAGAAGGGCACTGATCATCAGAAGAGTCCATTATCTCCCGTTTGCGTGATTCCTCGAGTCAGGCTACTTCTTTAAGTAGGAAGGCATGACGGTGGGTTTCAGCCTCTTCTTGGGCAGGAGTGAGATGCGTCGGCACTGGTTTGGGGCCAGAGTCTGGAGGTAAAGCTTTGGCTTAGTTCAAATTGCCTTAGTGGACACACATACCTGCATCTTGGGTATCATTGCCTGCGACTTGGGTATCACCGTTTGCGAGGTTGGCATCTTTGCATGTGGCTTGGCCGACCGCTCCCTGATTACCCTCTCCATCTTGTTCACTCTTTTCTTGCTCTTGATTAGCCTTCCC